ACCATTTGCAACAACATGGATGATGGAGCTAGAGGGTATTATGCTCAGTGAAATAAGCCAGGCAGAGAAAGACAAGTACCAAATGTTTTCACTCATATGTGGAGTATAAGGACAAAGAAAAACTGAAGGAACAAAACAGCAGCAGAATCACAGAACCCAAGAATGGACTAACAGTTACCAAAGGGAAAGGGACTGGGGAGGATGGGTGGGAAGGGAGGGATAAGAGTGGGGAAAAAGAAAGGGGGCCTTATGATTAGCATGTATAATGTTGGGGGGGATCGTGGGGCAGGCTGTGCAACACAGAGAAGACAAGTAGTGATTCTACAGCATCTTACTACGCTGATGGACAGTGACTAATGGGGTTTGTCTGGAGGACTTGGTGAAGGGGGAGTCTAGTAAACATAATGTTCTTTAGGTAATTGTACATTAATTATAACAAAATGAATAAAAATAAATGAATGAAAAAAATAAAAATAAATAAAGAGAAAGAGGTCGTAAGGCAAAGGCATAGGCTATGAGACAGCAGAGTAAAGTTGAATAATGGAGAAAATGAAGATTGATTTCAGAAACACAGTCCATCACTAGTGTGAGATCTGCACAAGGCAATCATTGCCTCTGCCTCTTTTCTATGAATGGGATGTAAGGCTTTGTAATGAAATGAGGCTACATATGAAGCAGTTTGTAAATAGTAAAATATGGAGAAAATGAAAAAAAGAAAGGTATACAGTGGAGTTTATAGTTTGTATATGAGGGTGGTTTTTGCACAATTTTTCATAATGTGAAGTTTAAAATTACCTAAATAGCCACACAATAGTGAAATGCTATATAGATTGTGGTATGTCTATTCTAATATATTATTATTTGGTCATCTAAAAGTGTTTTTGAAAAATAACAACTTTGGAAAATGCTTGTAATATAGCATTACATTAAGAAAAATTAAACAACTGTATGTGTGATTCTTATCTATGTTTTTAAATTTTCAAAGAGTTGGAAGTAAATATAATAAAAATATTAGGAGATTATTTCTGAATGAGTCAAATTTTTTTCTTATATTTCTGTATTTTCTAAATTTTATATAAAAACACATTTTACTTTTTACAGTTAAAATAAGTTGTGGGTAGTAGCTGGGGTTAAGACAAAAACTGCAACCTTTTATTGTAATAATATCCAAAATGTATAAGAAATATTGCTGTTGTTCATGTCTGTTACAGGGAGCTGTCCTAGATGATTGGATCAGACTCCATCTGTTATAACCGGGACATTACTTTATTATTTGCTAAAGTAAAGTGACTGTTCTGTTCTAAGAGCTCTTGAAAGGACTATGAAAAGCACTACTGGCCTCTCCTCTGTTTTGAACAGGTTGTTGGGGTGCCGGTTGGGTCTACTTTACCTTCAACAGTGAAACAGGCTGTGGCAATCAGTGGTGGCCAAATCCTTGTAGCCAAGGCCAGCTCCTCTGTCGCCAAAGCAGGTGGTCCAAAGCAAGTTGTAACCCAAGGAGTCGCCAAAGCAATTGTGAGTGGAGGTGGAGGAACCATTGTTGCTCAGCCAGTGCAAGCCTTAACCAAGGCTCAGGTCGCTGCAGCCGGCCCTCAGAAGAGCGGATCCCAGGGTTCAGGTAACTGATAGTAACTGGGGGCTCCTTCAGTAGCAGCCTCTTCAGGAATGTTCTTTGCTAGTGATTTTATTTGAAACTTAGTTCTGTCTGGCAAAATGTAGTAGGGTGATGCAGTTTGCTATAGGGTGTGTGTGTGTGTGTGTGTGTGTGTGTGTGTGTGTGTGTGTGTGTGTGTGTGTG